AAAAAAAAAAAAAAAAAGAAGGAATACCACGACTCCTAAAGCTGTATACAGGTGGGTAGTGAAAGGCAAAAGAGAAGTTAAGAGAAGAATATATTGCTGTCTTTAAAACTTAAAAAAAAAAAAAAAGAAGAAACAAAAAAAGAAAGAAAGAAAGAGACAGAAGGAACCAGAGAGAAGAAAAATGTCCAGAATTCTTGAATTAGTGGATGAAATACTACACGCTAGAAATAATTTAGAATCAGTGGATAAAAGACTGCACAATAGAAATACTTTACAATTAGTGGATGAACGGCTACACACTAGAAAGAAAGAAAGAAAGAAGGGACGCGTTCTTGTATAATGAGATGCGTGCTGTTGTTTTTTGTTTTTTTTTTAACTTTTTCTTTTTTATCGACGAAACAAAGAAGGAAACGGGCCCACAATGCCAAGGGGAATATCGATTTTTTTTATTTTTTTTATTTTTTTTGGGAAAGGAATATCGAATATCGTTTTGTACGCGTTTGAGCATGTAACACGTATGAAGTTTCATTGCTGATTCTTTTTTTTTTTTTTTTCATTGCTGATTCTCAGTGAGCGTGTGCAGAAGCAATTGGCAATTGCTTGTCATCATTCTTATTCTTCAGCCTTCTGGCTGAGACAGGTGGAGTATCTGGAGTGGGTTAGTATCATCTGGTCCGTGTTTCATCAGACCACACACTTTTTTTTTCTTTTTTTTCTTTTTTTTAAGCCAGTGGGCAAAAACAAAAAGCGCAAGGAAAAGACGAAAAACAAAAAGAATTCCAAGCGGCAAAGAAGATGAGGGCGTGAAGAAGGCCCGCAAGTAGCACACACAGGGGAAGAAAACGACATGAAACCTTCACAAAGAAGATTAAACCAAAAAAAAAAAAAGGGTATTAAAAAAAAAAACATATTTAAAAAAAAGGCAATACAAAAAGAAGAAAAAAAAAAAAAAAAAAAAAAAGAAAAAAAAAAAAAGGAGCCGGTGAAGAAGCGCAAAGCGAGCACGATCGACAAGGGACGGAACTCACCACAAGTGCGGAAACTGTGAGTGTCACAGAGAGCGGCGGTCACGGAGATGATGGGCAAAGCGGGCGGACCAGTCGCTCAACTATACAGGGGCGCAGTTATGGCCTCGAATCCACAGCGGGCGCTCAGGCCCGAAGCGGTGAGCGGTACTCCCCTCTTGCAAGGTTTCCCCCGGATAGAACGGAGGGTCACTGTGCTTGTATGTTTTTTGCACAATGCTTGTGTTTTTGTTTTTTTTTGGTGGGCAAGTTTCAGTCTACATGCAGCTGGCCCTCGAAAAGTGCGCCGTCCGTTCTAGGTAGGGCGGACCGGTCGCTCAACTATACAGGGGTGCAGTTATGGCCTCGAACACCACCGGGAGCTCAGGCCCGAAGCGGTGAGCGGTACTCCCCCCTCCCCTGCAAGCTTACCCCCCAATAGAACGCACGGTCACGATGCTCCTGTTTTTGGGACAAGGGGGTCAGTCTCTTTTTTTCTTTTTTTTTTACAAGGGGGTCAGTCGACATGCAGCCGCCGCTCGAAAATTGCGCCGTTCGTTCTACCAAGGCCGCACCGATCGATCGCTCAACCATCGCTCGCCCGTACACGAGTGCAGTTATGGCCTCCGCCTCCAACACACAGGGAGCTCAGGTCCGAAGCGGTACTCGCCCCCCCTCGCAATCGTTCCCCCGAATAGAACGTACGGTCGGTCATTTATGCGTTTTGGGGGCCCAGTTTCAGTCTGCATGCAGCTGGCCCTCGAAAAGTGCGCCGTCCGTTCTATTCGGGGGGGCGAAGAGGCGGGGTTCTAAAAGCGAATACGGTACGACCCCAGTCCCAGTTCAGAAACGTGCATACGGGCGCGGGCCCTGGGCCCAGCGGAACGGAAAAGGGGACAACACCAATGGGCCTACCGGTAGGACAGTTGGTAAACCCACAAGCTGTTGAAATACAAAACCGGAGTTCGATTCCAGAGTTACTTGGGCCCGGTTAGTTTCACAGTGAATTTCTTTCACCTATACCGCATTGTTGGGAGTGTTGGGCGTAAAACCGTCACGTCGTCACAGCGGGGTCCGACCGGTACGCTTCCGCCGGCGCAATCGCGCTCGGACCAAGCGTGTTCCTGTTTGGCAACGACGGAGTGTCTGACCGTGGAGTGTACCGCCACTGATACGCCCTCGGTAATGTCGAAGCGCCGTCACCTACTCCTTGAGGTAGGTCGTAACTGGTTTGACCAGCTATGGAGGCTGCTAGAGTAGACACCCGGAAGGACCTTACTCTGTGTAGTTAGTAGTCTGTCGCCGGTAGTCTGGCTCCGAGAATTGGGTTGTGGTAGTTAATCGCTTGTCTATTGATCTTGCTACGAGTTTTTCAGTTGGAGAGTTAATAGTTAGATAACCAAGTGGGTACGATGGCGGAGATGGAGACGGTCAGGGAGGTTAACCGTTCTCCTCCCAGAGCACCAGAGCTGACATCAGACGATGACAACCGACTAAAAGAACTGGTGAGGATGTGTTATCATGATGGCGTGATGCCTATTGATATAGATCCTGGGGAGATGACGGTAGAGGGTAGAGAGGTGAGATTCAAAGTTAACGTGACTCTTGACCAGGCAAAAATTGCATGGCTTAAGGAACATACGGTCACATTCATCTTCAGAGCTGGAGCAAGATTTTTGCCGAGAAACGTTAAGGACGACGTAGTCCGGGCGTACGAAGACAAGCAAGTTGCTGACGGCAGCTTCGAGGCAGTTTCGTTTCAGCGCGGAAAAATTAAAATCGAATCTCCTAACGTTATCTCTTACGTGGCCAAATCGCGGGAAATTGCAATTTGGTTGGTGAACAAGGGTTCTGATGAGTTGATGGTGGGTTCCCAACGCTATGTCTTCGAGTTCAAACCATGGTTGACGAAGGCGCAGCTGCTTGCACAAAGGAGAGTTGAAGATGAGCAAAACTTTTGGGTTGTTGCAGTACAAGTTCCACTTGACGCTTTTTTCTACTTGGAAGTACAGATCAGGCGAGTTGTTGGTCCAGTCCTGCGTTCTCACCCTCCTGAGCAAGACAGAATGGTGAACATCAAGTTCGACATCGCCCCCAGTGTCAGGAACAACATGAAGGATAAGATTTGAATTGACACGTCGGAAGGAGATTCGTTGGAAGTCAAGCTGGCGTCATCCGCTACTCCTAGGTGTAGACGATGCCGTGCATTTTTCCACTCTGAGAATGAGTGCAGGAGGAATACAAGTCAGCAAAGTCAACCTACGTCTAACGGCCCGGCCACCTCTCAAGCATCGACGAGCCAAGCTCCTCTTCCAACTCCTTTATACTCAGGTCCAATGGGACCTAATGGTACTGGGAGTTTAAGTGCGAGTGCAGGAAGCAGTGCCATGGCGACATCACAAGCTGCTATGCATGTTCCATCCATGCCAACGTCATCCGTCCTCAATCCAACTTTCTCTCCTGGATTGATGTCTTATCCAAGCTATAGCCATTTGCCTGGCGCGGGGCTCTCGCAAGCCTTCCAGGGTTGGAACATGTCTGTTCCTCCCCCATGGAGTATGCGGCCGATGCAATATGGGTTGCTTCAGCAATATGGAAGAACCCATCCTTCAGCCTTCACATCCTATATGCCAGCTCAAAATCATATGGGAGGTTACAGCATGGCGTTCGCGGAATCTTCTCCGATAATCAGAAGAGTGCAACCTACATCGGATACTCCAATGACATCAGTGGCTCCGATAGGAGGACAAGGCTCGATGATCTCGGCAAGACCAAGCAGTAACGCGATACCTGGTGGGTCAAGAAGTCGAAACAGTACACCCGGGAAACAGCAAAGACTCGACCAGGAAGGTAGCTTTGTGTCCGGGGATGGTGTCGCTGAAGCCGAACACTCTGCAACCTCATCACAGGGATCCGGAGAACAACTCTCAACAACAGGTATTCCAGGCCAGAAGACCACCCGGAGACGGATTCCGGTGGCACTGTCGAAAGGTCAACTGAGTGACATCGAGAATCATATTCTCCCCTTCTTTTGTGTGGCAATCCGTCATACGATTGGGGTAGTGGCCTTTGCAGACAATGACGGGGTACCAAATATGGTAAGTCTCGCCTCCCCAGATACACCTATGCCTACGGCCACATCCATTCTGATTCGAACGACTATTGTTGACAAATTTTCGTTTCGTTTGATATTTGATGTCGTCATGGTTCGGTTGATAGTCGAGAATCCTGATAATCGAGGCAAGAAAATTAAATTCTTCGTGCCTCTTATCGATGTCAGGTTTCAGGCGGGTCAGCTCGAGCGGTTAGAACCAGAAGGATTGCGTCTTCTCCCGATTTCTTGGTTTGTGTAGAAAAAGCGTTAGGAACTGTGACGAATCCAGATTCCTCCCTTAAAAACGACCGAGTGTCTTTTGGAGTTGGAATCACGTCTTCCTAAGGAGAAGAAGCTATGTTCTCAATTTGTCCGGATTGCCTTGACCACCCCTTGGATAACTGAACCCTCTGTTTCGTCCCCCTCTCACATCCAACACTTGACGGGAGGTGAGATGAACATGTCGTAAGTCATGAGTCGCTTAAGATTAGTGAGTTGGAATTTACGTGGTATGGGTGACACTTCAGGTAATTTAAAAAAAAAACGATTGAAAACGTTCATGCACAAACACAATATCCATATAGTTTGTCTCCAAGAAACAAAATTAAGTGAAGAAAAAATCAACACATTAGACCAGTGGTGGGATGACCCACAACTGTGGTCCCCGACCATTGGCTCTAAAGGAGGGGTTGGTATTTTGCTTCACAGAAATTTGGATGCTGAAATTGTAGACTACTATGCGGATTTGTGGGGAAGATGGAGTTGGGTGAAATTATTAATTAATGATCAGGAATGGCTAATTGCATCTATTTACGCCCCCACCGACCCTCGTTTACGAAACACTTTCTTTAATGAACTATTATACATTTTACTTGAATGGGGAAGGACGATCCTAGCTGGAGACTGAAACTCCTCTTTGGATGTCTCCACGTCATCTCAGACGGTAGAATGTCCGAGGGACAAAATGTCCCTAGTTCAATTGAAAGAATCACTTGAGTTGATCGACCTGTACCGACTAACCCACCCTGATGAGGACGGCTTCACATGGTTCTCCAATCTAAGACAGGACGAAAGTGTTATTAGCAGGCGTTTGGACTATTTCCTAACCTCTCAGAATTAATGGAAATTGATCTCACAAATAAAAGTGACACCCCATCCGATGTCCGACCACAAGCCTGTCATATTGACAATAATTTCTACTGATTATGATCGAGGTCGTGGTTTATTTCGATTTAACACGCAAAATCTAGAGGATGCTGGATTAGTCAAAAGGATGAGTGAATTCTGGAAAAGCTGGAAATTAACACACTCCTCCTATGAATTGGTTGATGTCTGGTGGGAGAAAGACTCACGAATCTTTTCTAATCTGCTCTCGGTGTTCTCAAGAATTAAGGCAGTCCAACGCTATATGGAAGAAAAAAAATCCCTGAAGAGGAAGATAATGTATGCAGAACTCAGAATGTCACAACACCCAGTGTCTAATCTGGTATGGGGTAAGGAAAGAGCGAAATTATCCACAGAATGGGACAACCTGCAAAAGAAGAAATCGGAACTGTGGGCGGAAAGACTGAAGGTGAAAGGCATTATTATTTACGATTGGATGACAAAAGAATCGTTTCAAAAACTCATTCCTCGTCGCTCATCCATACCAATGAGGGAACTATGTCATCCGTTTGATACAATGGCCCCAAGCGCTAAAGATCCAAGGGGTCTATGTAACTACGCAGCCACATACTATAAGGATATACTGACTTCACGGCTGCAAGGGGCAAACATTGACAACAACCTTCACTTGACTTGCGATCACTGACAACAAACCACAGTTCGATTACCCAGATGGACTGCCGGTGAAACTGTACCTGACAATCTGGGAATTTGTAGGCGACAAATTGGTGGAACTGTATAACGAGATATTAAATGGAGGGAAGTTATCTACAAGTATGTGCATGGGTATCATATCAGTGCTATTCAAAAAAGGAGATACGACGGAAATACGCAACTGGAGACCCATTTCAGTCCTGAATGTCTCATACAAAATATTGGCTAAAATTTTGGCTAGACGACTGACACGATACCTACCTGATTTAGTTCACCCAGATCAAGCAGCTTTCGTGAGTGGAAGATCTATTTTTACTAATATTATCACTGCAGTAGAAACACTGGAAATAATCCACAATGGAAATTTGAACTATGCGGTTTTACTGGTTGATCTTGAAAAGGCTTATGACAGGGTGAATTGGTCGTATGTGATTACAACCTTGAAAGTGATGGGCTTTGGGGAGATATTCTGCACTTGGGTGATAGCGTTATACACGATGTCGATAGCAGCAGTAATGATCAACGGAAGATTATCAAATGAATTTTCTCTCTCTCGATCTTTAAGACAGGGTTGCCCGTTGGCCCCCCTGCTGTTTGCTATCCAAATGGAAGGCCTGTTCAATAATATCCGCAACCATACAGACATACAAGGCTTCCCTGTTGGCCCCACTCAGTATAAGTCAAAATCTCTAGTTGATGACTTGTTTGTTGTGGTAGGCAATTCTGCTGAATCTCTAAAAGCTCTTAAATCTTGTTTAGACCAATTCGCCTCCCTCTCAGAAGCCTCTGTGAACTGGCATAAATTTGTTTTCTTCCTCCCCTCTGAATACAGTTTGCCAGTGAAATGGGGGATGAAACGTATCAGGGAATCCCAGTCTGAGCGTTTTCTGGGGGTACAGATCTCTCTGTTGTCGTGTGAAGCTGATCAAGACGACCTAATCCTTCAAAAATCATTGCAGCGAATTGGATCGTGGGGTAAAGCTCCCCACCTTTCCTTTTTCGGCAAAGGAATGGTCGTCAACAGTGCATGTTTTTCTCTGCTGTGGTTTGTTGGTACTGTAAGGGGATTCAGTAAACAATTATTTAATTTGGTTAGAAGAAGGGCTGCGAAATTCATATGGAAACCCTTTGCAGGGGATGAAGATTCTTTTTTGTCGAAAGTTGCTTGGGAGGCGCTATGTTTGCCACGGGAACAAGGGGGGTTAGGTATCCTTGACCCTAAACGTCAGAATGGGGCAATGTTGGTTAAATGGATTCTAAAGGCCGCACTAGATCACTCTGAACCACATTGGGTGCTTATGGCGGAACATATTTTAGCAGGTGAGTGGAACCTCACAAGACCGACAGATGTCTGGACTTGTCCGTTACTCCACTCCTATCAGCACAGGCATATGAAATCCCCCTTTTGGAAGACGATTGTGCATGCATGGAAGTCTACGAGACCTGATGTATGGGTTGAACCAGAAACAAAGGCTGAGGTCCTCAACCAACCACTGTTCGAAAACCCATTGATTCGCCTGCCATCGGGTGATTGGATAAAAGCAGACATTGCAACAGGGAGTTATGGCAGAAAGTGGATAGAAAAAGGAGTGATTCGGGTGAGTGATATATGGGATACTGTTCTTGGCTGCTGGAAATCGGAGGGTGACCTCAGGACCAACTTGGGACAAGTCAGAAACCTGCCGGAGAAAAGGAATTCAATTATCTCAGCAATCCCCCAAAAATGAAAGGATTTGCTTGAGTCCGTCAAAACTGACCCACGTGGTACATGGTACAGCACAAGTGCACCAGAACCTCCCACCGTTCTTTGGAAATTAATTCAGGTTGATTCTGATAACTGCTCTTTGTCCCAACAAGATTCAGACTCACAACCCCCGCTCTTCGAGTCTTTAGACCAAGTCAGGGTGATTGAAGACCTCAATATCGAAGGAACACCCTCAGGGATTGTCTTCGCGGGAGGACGTCTTATTTGTGAAATGGAACTTGACCCTGTAAAGTGGGAGTGGAAAGCCGCGGGGAAGAACAATCAAAGTGTCTGTCTACTGGACTATACACAAAAGGTGGGATATACTCTTAAACCTCCCGTTAAATCTCCACAGATGGTTGCACGACTCAGATGGCAATCTTTGCTGTCAATTGACCCTCATGGCATATCAATAGCAATTGACAGATGTTGCAACAATTGAGACTCATTCCTAATCAACGCCAAGCTTCAATTTTGTGGCTTCTTACCTTGGTTTTCACACCATCAGCGGTGTGGTTAGCAGAGCATGGTATGAACATCGATATGACTTGTCAACGGTGTCGATGGGCATTTGTGTCTACTGTACATTTATGGTGGGACTGTCCGGAATCAGCTCGAATTTGGAAATGGTCGGGGGACAAATGGATCTTTATTGTGGGAGATGTGTTTGAGTGGAACAAGGTGTGGACGCTACTAGGAGGGGTTCCTGATGGTGTCTCTCTGTGCAAAGGCATGGGATATGTAGCCCAAACATTGAGAGCAGTAGTATGCTCAACTATTTGGCATGCTAGAAAGGACTTGGTTTTCAACAAACAAGAGTGGACAAACAAACAAATCCGCTCAACAGTTCTGCAAGGGATTCGTCAGGCAATAATGGCAGACTGGAGACGGAAGGTTATCAAGTCCGACAGCAGGATAGTGGGCTTACTTTGGTTCAGGGAAACTTGGTGTTTCCGTGACAAAATGGCCTCCGTCGTGGACGACAAATTGTTGTTGAATGATTGGTTATTTAAGAATTAGGTTTGTAGGTTCAACCTGTACGCTCGGTTGAAGGCTCGGTCACGGTAGACAGGCAGATGGCTAGGAGCTGGAGGGAGCGGTAGCCTAGGATTGTTAGAAGTCTCATGATAGAGACTCCCACCGCCGTTAGGTGGATTATCAATGTTACTTGAAATGGATTACGAATTGGTTGTTTGGTGGTAGAAATTGTGTAGGATAGAGATGTAGGATAGGACTTCACTTTCTTTCTTGGTTTGGGTGGTTTCTGTTTTCCCTTATCCTCGGTGAGGGAAGGCCTTCTGTTTAGAGTCGTTGTTTTTTTTGTTTGGATTGTTAGGCTTTTATGGGCCTTGAAGGCACTGTTGTTATTTTTCTCCTTTTTTTTAGGGTCGTGGATAAGTCGGGACAGCGGTCTGTGTTTGGCCATCTCTGTTCCCAGACAT